CCTAAATACCTGGGGCGCATGCCGAGACGCGTTACTTAGTCACGCGACTCCACACCGTGAGAAAAATACGTTCTGATTCACAAAATTTGTTTCATAATATCTATGTAAAACAAAACCACATCTAATAGTGTCGAGAGGTAACCTTCAGCCATGACTTAGAGCTGATATTAAGAACTTGATTCAGTCAAAAATATTTTAACTTACTTGTATATATTACTTATATTATAAATGTGAAAGCAACAGAAACAGCAACAGAATGTCGTTTGCTTGGGTACCTCTGTCCCATTCGTGTTTCAACCGTAAAGCAGTTGTGTTTTGCATGGCTGTGTTTCTACTTGAAGGGTAGGATATGGCGTGAATTTACAGAGTACAGAGGAGTAACACCCGAGTCCTCAGGAGTGGCGACGCATGGGGGGTATCATGGGCGAAACAAAATACTCTGTTACGTGCACGGTACTGCTCATGTCTGTAGGCGACGGTTACCACTTTCCATCAGGTGGGCCGTCAGCTTGTTAATTTAATTGCCTTTAACTACGGCCTTCTAAAGTAAGTTTGTTTGTTTGTAACCAGGGTGGGATATGGCAGTGAATTTACAGGATACAGAGATATAACACCTACTTAGCAACGCATGAGGGGTATTATGGGGTATTTCTGTTATACTGCTCATGTCTATAGGCGACGGTTACCACTTTCCATCAGGTGGGCCGTCAGCTTGAATGTCATTCTAAATTGCTTAAAAAAGTCTTACCGTCTGAACAACTTACCAATATTTATTTTGATATTATTTACAGTATAGGATTGATTATCGACTGCTCGAGCTATGTGGCGACCTCGTTACCACTTTGACTTTCTGATCCTTCGGACAGTCCCATCGGTCACATTAATTCCTGCACACATTTTTTTGGGGTCTATTTAAAACGTGTTTTCATAATTTTTGTCTAAAATTTCAAACTTCGGGTATGAAATATATTTGTAATTTAAAAGTTTTTTTTTAATTTTTTTTTTTAACTAAATTAAAAGATATTGCACACATATTTTTTTTATCTAAACTCTTCAATTTTGTACCACTTTCCAGACAAGAATTAGGAAAGAAATAAATTGTTTAACTGTACCATTAGTAATGGAGTTGGTGTGAGCAATAGAGCAATAGGTATGCAAGAAATAGTACTGGCATCTCAATAGAATATGTCCAATCATTTTCGTTAAAAAACATTGACGTTAAGAATAAAATACAGTATTTTTGTAGTAAAATATTTTTATTGATCAACAGAAAAGAAATACAAATTATTGACAGAAATAGTAATAAATAATAATTCGTACATTATGTTAATATACTACATATAAGGCTATATAATATTACATCCGTTTATTTATAAAACAAATCAGAAATACGAGTCTCACATTTTATATAGATAAGGTATAAATTAGCACAATATTACATTATTTATTTTACTAGTTTAATTTATAATATATATTGACGGAAGCACATATCATGGCACCAAGTGAATGATAGGTATTATCTAGGACAATGTACCTACCTAATCGTAAACTAATATAAATGTTGAACATTTTTTATTTATGATTAAATACTTGGCAATTGACTAATTATGAATTAATGTAGAATAATGAAATGAATATTAAAATATGAGAATCATATTTCGATAAATATTAAGTGATGAAGAAAGAGGCGCGGGTTCAAGGCCCGCCCTCTTCGAAATTTTTCAATCATTTAATAACTTGTATTAATTAATTAGTAATCTGAAATCTGACTTTCATTTATTAATAATATTTCTAATAAAAATGTCACAGCGAACTACGTGGAATCCTAATTATTATTTAATAGCGTATATTGCCTGGAAATGAGCATTAGAATTAAACACCAACTGTTTAGCAGTCGAGCTACGCGCACGGCGCGGCGGCGGTGACGTGCCGGCCCATATGTTAATGTAGGGCGGGCACATGTGAGCGCGCCGTGACGTCACACGTCACACCGTGACGTCACGTGACGAGCCGCTCCGCGCAAATCTAGTAACGAGAACTAGTTGGCGCTCCATATCGCTAACGTTGCAACAACATATGGTTAATTTAATAACGTTTTTTGATCATAGAACGGGCAGCTTCATAAAAACCCGCCGGGCTCGGTAACTGCGTCGGCATTACGTGCGTTAGCAACGTTACACTCGTCCTACATGTGTTTGTTTTTCTATGAAACTTTGTATAACATTTGTCTATAAATAGATTATCTCCTATGGATCCTTGTATCCGGTTTAATCATTCCATTTATTTTAATCTATTCAGGCAGAGTTGTTTAATATATAGTTCTATTGGTACTTCGGTTTTGTTAATTTTAATTTATATTTCAAATAGATTATGTAATAATTGTTTCCGATACATGTTCACTATTGGTATGAGGTTATCAGGAAAATATTGTTCAGCGATAAAACCTTTAGTACACAACAAGGTCACAAATAATCATATAAGTATTAGTATATGATAGTATATATATACATACACAGATATCCAAAACCGATATATTGCATCATACATATTTCATAGTAATGTTTGTACAATACATATTTACTCCATTTTTATTTCAATTTAAAATTATACAATAGTACCTAAATAGTTACTCTTTATTGTTTCCTCCAAAAGATTACAGTAGTAAACTTATTATAGATACAAACAATTACAAAAAATGATCACACTGAGAAAACAATAGGCGATCTTATCGCCAAAAGCAATCTTCAAAACCTTTGAATAGAGAGCAGTAATTAGATTGCTGTCCAGGCTAAAAATTAATATAGTAAAACAATTTTCGAGTACTACTACACGTGTGAAGGTGTCGCCCCCTAGTACCTTACAAAAGACCGACTTCTTTACAAACGAAGGCCTCTGAAGTGGCTTACCAGATGACACATTACGTATCCTCCGAACCACGAAGCAAGTGGAAATCATTTTTATCCCGAGATATTAGCTGTTTGCAATATATATATATTTTTTTTATACAACTTAGAATGGCAAACAATTTGACGGCCCACCTGATGGAAAGTGGTAACCGTCGCCTATATGTTAGACATGAGCAGTACCATATACCATATCAAACAACAAATAGCATCAGTGACTTTAATTTGCAATCTATTACACTACCACAATATGTGTATATTATATTTTACCATTATTTAAATATATTTATAACCTAAAATCTAAATTAATTTGACATATACTATTTAGTTTTTCTTTATATGTAATAATTCATTATAACTGGCCTCTAACACAGGTAATCCAGGTAGCATTCATTACATAAATGTCGTGATGTTTTCTAACCTCTGATTGTGTGTAACAAATCTAAAGTCGATAATAACAGTGATAGCTCAGTCAGGCCATATTTATATTTAGAGACTCTGCTCTAAAGGCTCCTCTGACTACTCCAGAATCGCCTGGTAAAGTGGACACAGTGGCGGATGGACTGTATACATATATACAATTATCAATAGTTGGTTTATTTCACTCGTTAGTTTTGTTAATCAATGACTCGACGTGAAATTACAATAAAAATAAACGTTATTACAAGATAATTTATAAATATGTTTATGTATTAGTTTTAAGCTGTATATATTAAAAAAAAAATAAGTAATACAAGACTACAAATATTTTAAGAGTTACATTATAAGTTATGAACAAATATTGTTAAATTAACTAACTAATTTACTTTAAGTTACTAATTTTATTTGTACACACAAAAGAAATCTTAATTCAATTACATAATACATATTTTATAAATATCACAGTCGACTCTATCGGACGATGCTTATGCAGATTATGTTTATATGTTTTTCCCTGTAAAATACCTACAAGTTACAATTTGCCTCAACATCCTACAAACTCGTGTTACGAAAAGTGGTAACTGTCACCTATAGATATATGAATAGCACAGTGTATTCTGTGACGCCAATGAACACCCTACATACGTTACTATTCCAGAGGACTATAACGTTATCTTTTATATCTAAAATCTTTTTAATACTGTTTAAAAATGTAACACAATTCAACCAAGTTTGTATAGAGAAATTATATAACTACATACAACTAATTGTCTGCGATATATTGAACAATGCAATGACAATTATATATTTATAAATCATCAATTGGCTGATTGCCGGCCAATGAGCGTGCCACGCACAATACCTACATCCTACATCCCACCCAATTTCTCAGTTCATTAGGTAGGTTTAGTTAATATAGCTGATAATGAATTTCTTCATAAGACATGTAGGTATATAGCCGTCATTAGCTATAATCATATACCTATATCTTATACCGATTTGAACATTTTATCAATGATGCATGCATTAGAAAAATATAAAACAAGCTTTAGATACATCAAAATCATATAAAAAATCCTATTAGATAGTCTACCAAATTCTTGAGAATTGGGAATCGAACACGAGAAATTATATTTTTATTGATTGACTGAACGATTGAAAATGCCTAAATATTCACTATTTCAACAATACATCATGTGTTCTTTACAGACATTTCGAAATTTAAACACTACAAATTTTACAAAAATATTATCACCAAACTACAAATTCCAAATATAATATTATTGTTAAAGCTAAATTAAACACGAGCGAACACTATTACCTAGTCGTAGTACACTTTCAACACTTCATAACGTATTCACGAGTCTGTAGTAATTTTGTCCAAAATTTGTGTTCACTGTCACAAGCACTAGTATAACACCGTACGACTTCACTTTCGTCCGTAGAACGTAGAATGTGAGACGTGAGACGTGAGACATGAGACGTGAGGCAGACACGTGCGAGAGCGGCGCGAGCCCGACGAGTGGTCGCGCGCGCGCCAACCGGCTTCTAGCGCCGCGTACGGTGCCCTCCGGCCTCCGCCCGCCGCCCGCCGCCACGCACTGCGTCACCGAAGAGATCTCTTCGACTGTTGGTGCTATTTAAGCAACTCACAGTCACCGTCCACATCTATTCGCAACACAGCTGTCCCAAGAGCGGACGCTCAACACAAACTCGAACTTACAGAAATGGCGATCGAAAGATTGATCACACTCACCCTAGCGGTGGTGGCGGCGGCGGCGCTCGCCGCGTCGATGCCCACCAAGAAGGAGCCGGGCAAGCTGGACCTGTCCGATGCGATTAACAAGACGGTGTGCCCCATCAAAATCGAGATCAACGACGACCCTAAGCGGATCCCGCGCCGCATCAAGGAGATGAAGTGCCGGGACGACCCGAACGTTTGGTGCTCGAAGAATCACATCCCGTCGAACGAGTGCTGCCAGCACCAGCACGCGGCGGTGCACATGCAGTGCGTCGAGATACAGGACTGGGTGCAAGTATACTACCCCGAGACCGACGACACGCAGACCTCGCGCGTCTCCGTCGGCTGTATGTGCGTGATGCAGCAGGGCGAGATGGCGCAGGACTCGCAGCCGAGCTGACCGCCTCGCGCCACTCGCGGCTCCTGAGGCCCACTCATAGTTCCTACACTCCACTAGTGATAATCGACTTATTTATTTCGTGGGCGAGTGTGCTTGTATATATGTGCATGTTATTATTTATTATGAACACTATGGTTGTGAAGTGTACGCATACTGCGGCTCCGGCGGGTATCGGAGCCATTAGTGCCCTGGGTCGCCGGCTGGACCGGCGCGCCTGTCGACGGACAGATCTCTCTAGACCCTGTATCAGGCGTCTGATTAGTTAAGAGGATGTTATTTATTAATTTAAACTACTGTTACAATTTTTCAATATAAAATTACAATGACTTTAATGTTTTATTTTTTCCATAGAATCTTATTATAAGTTTACACTCAATACTTTCATTGTACGCATAATCTCTGCAATTTCAATCAAAATATATATATATATATATATATTGATATTAAATTAATTTATTTTCACTAATTGATAAATACATGTTACGATATGAAATACATGATAGATACAAGAACCTCCTTGTATAGTTACAGAAATAATAACATAATATACAAATAGAACATTTAAAAGTTTTAGATAAATTTTTCATATTCTTAGATACACCGTTACATTACGAGTATTAATATAAGTATTTCTCCATAAATATTGAGGTGTAAGTTAGAATGCAATGTGAAATGAAGTCAATAGACAGAAATTGTATTAAGTCTTAAATAGTATTAAAGTGATATTTACAGAAATAAACAGAAATAAGCCCCTTGCTCAATATAATATCCCTATATAATATTTAATCCAAAATAAAGATAAAATTAGCTTATAGCTACAAATGAATTCCATACATTTGTTACGAACTAACCGTACGACAAATTGTTATAAATATTTCGTTAAAATTACAATTTACAGTTTGTGTTGTGACTTCTTAATGGAATTTCATATTAATAAAGTTCCATCAAGTGATCAGATAATATAATAAAAAATACCTAAAACTCTTAATAAAATTTATACTAACGAAATTAGCATACGAAGAGATTTATTTATTTAAACTTTAATGCAAGTAAAATTGTATGTAAATTTTGGTGGACTTAACATCGAACGGTGTTCTCTACCAGTCGACCATTGGGCAAACCGAGAAATACGTAGACAGTGCATTCTTGAATAGAAAAAAAAATAAAGCAATATTTAATAAATTCATATAATATAAACATACACATAATATATTAAATAAATAAATAAATATATACATACATAAATAAATACATAAAATATTACTGTATAGAACAATTAGATAAAACAACTGCAATGGAAGAGCAAATAATAAATCTATGACTCAAACAGAGTAACCAGCAGGAGAAGCTTAAAGGGAAAAATTTAGACGTCATAATGTATATTTTGTGACATGATACTAATCACGACTCGCAAAGGTGGGGCCGGACGGGCCGTGCCCACTTGAAAATTGGTGCCCACCCCAGCGAGCTAAGCTTCGCAAAATCATGTTTGAAAGTATAGATGCGCCTTTCTGAAGGAGCTAGCGCCCCCTACCCCCTTACTAGAAAATGTGACTATGAAAAAATGTCTGTAGAACAGCCCATGTTATTAATTCTCGATGAAAACTGATAATTAATTGTCGTTTCAAATACAATGTCATATAGCTCATTTTACTTATAATTATGATAAATACAACATTTTTAATTTTATTTCTACACCTACGTAAGATTGTCTATCTATCCTATTTAAGAGCTGCGCTCTTGTCGGTGGAGCTCTTGCCACTCACTACTCTTTTCAGCGAGTTGTAACATGAAATAAATATGAGATTAAATAAAAATGATCCTAAATAATACTAGTTTATGTATACTCACTATAGTAGTTAAAAAGAAGTTAAGTTCTATTGTTTATGGTTTGTACGGACGAGAGACATTTTATTCGCGAAGCATTCTTATGCTCTGTTAATTCATGATGGACAAAAATGTACGCCAACATCTAGGATATATATATATATATATATATATATATATATATATATATATATATATATATATATATATATATATATATATATATATTATTTATTGCACAATAAAATTTATATAGTTAATAAATAAAGATTAATTCTTGTTTCCACTGTTCTTTATGATAGAATCACATTCGAAATCCTACCTACTATCTTATCATTGAATTATCACCAATGCAATGGACTGACCTCATCAAAACGGCCACACAGCAATCTGTTGTGAAACACTCTCACTCAGCTGAGAGCAGAAGTAGATAGAAACAAATTGCGAAGACGTCAAAGACGAAAACGAGCCACATCGACAATCCACCATAAACATGAAAACTACGATCTCTCTCAAGAGTGTACTGCTGAAGGGAGATCTTATCAATATTATAGAAGTAATTATTGCGTCATACTGACATACCGACAGACAAAAGTTCTAAACTTTATTATTTAGACATATACTGGTCTTATTTAGTAACATTATCTCATATTAATTTATTTTTAAATATCTCTCATGCACAGTCGTCGTGTAGTTAGAATTTTATTATACCTAATGATAAGGTAATTCTATCTTAAACATTCGCTTATTATCCTATTTAACGCAAACGGAATCGCGACTTACAGCCAATGAAGTATACATTAATATCATCATCATCATCACATCGGCCTTTAACTGTCCACTGCTGAACATAAGCCTCCCCTTTAAGAGTTTTTCCAGTAGTTGCCACGCTTGGCAGGCGGATTGACAACCGCAGTTAGACTTTAGAGATGTTTTAAGAGGGACGCCGCTGCCCATCCCTCGTCCACCCTGAATCGTCTCTTACGATACCCACGAGAAAAGAAGGGATGTCCTATTCTATGCCGGGACCACACGGCGAAATTAATATGAATACTAGTTCCACTTGTTCCACTACAAATCACTAGATCCCAGGGGGAAGGGATTGTTAGTAATGGGGAGGTTAGTCCCCATTGCTATCAATATACCCTATCAGGTCAACCTCCACGCGGTTCCTCCTGGAAACTATCGTGACTAATTTATCGATGAATTCGTCATGATGGGCTAACTGACCTGCTTTTCCATCCTCACCAATCATCCCTCGTTGGTGCCTCGTCAGTGTATACCGATAGCGCAAGCAAGGTTACCATTTCATTATCATCCAGAAAAAAAATCACTAATCCCCATTGAAGTTCACATAACGATGAGTCAAGCTACGAGTCGCGCGGTGACTCATCGCTCCATATTGTAATTTGCCGAACACTTTCATTGAACATCCATTCGTGCCACGTTGTCCGCTGCATTAAAACAAATGCTCGCCACTATAAAAACTAGCATACACGAGTAGCACCGCAAACAATAGATATTTCGTACGCGCACAAAATCTCTTTTAGCCAAACAGTATATCATTCACAAAACGAGCACAATGGCCTGACCACAATTGACACGACCAAAGAATCGGTGTACAACTTAAAAGCCTGGGAGCAAATGTAAATAATTAAATTATAACTTTATAATAAAATTGGCGGTGCGGTCCCGACATGGAATAAGCCACCCCTTTCTTTACCGTGGGTGTCGTAAGAGGCGATTAAGAGATGACGAGGGATGGATAGCAGCGTCCCTCTTAAAACATCCCCAAAGCCTAACTGCGGTTGCCAATCCGCCTGCCAAGCGTGGCAACTGCTGGCAAAATCCCCTAAGGTAGGCTTATGTTCAGCAGCGAACAGTTAAAGGCTGATATGATATAAAGTTAGCTTTTACCCGCAACTTCGGACACATAGCTTTTCTCTCTAGATGAGGTATCTAAATAAAACATACACGAGATTTTCTGTTAGACTTTCAGTAATAAAACTATGAAAACCGCATTGAAATTTGTGTAGTAGTTTTTGTGTAATGCCGGAACAAACATACAGACAGACAGAGAAAAATTCTAAAAATATATTGGTGTCTGTTGCTCTTATCTTAATGATATTAGGAAGAAAAATTAGATACTATGATAATTGTAGGTATTATTTACTTTTTATTTTTTTAATGATTTTTCATTTGAAATTATATACGAAATAAAATCATTATAAATAATTGTATTATTCCCAAATTATTTTATAATTGTTTTACATATATAATGGATTGCATTTATTTTTATTTTTCAATATTATTATTGTTATTTAAGTACTGGTGAAGGCATTAGTTGAAAAGTAAAATAACCCGGGAACAAATGTCCCTCGCTTGTGCATGCAGACCATAGGTGAAACAGACTAACTACAAATAATTTAAAAATACCAATTCTTTATATGTCCTTTTATACTGAGATTAGTTACTGATCATTCTGGGGCAATGCGCAGTTATGGATTAATAAAACTAGGAACAAAAACTTGAAATTTTGGTTACCAAATCCTAAACTTAACTTAAAATAACTTAAAAACTAAAAAGAGAAACCGTGTTGAAGAGCTAGTGATTCGTAAGTACATTCTAATTAAATAGGCCATCAAATGTGTCTGTAGCTACCTAATCGTAACGATGTTTTCTTTAAGTTTTCATTTCACAATATGTCGGCAGTGACGCCCCGCCGCGCTACCGTCTATGGCTTCCCTCACTACCTCTATGTACTCATATACATATATGAAATAATATAATCTGAGTGTTCGATCGCAAATTGCCTGACTACAGGAAAATAAGTAGATTAGGAATTACTACGGAATATGGGCTCGGCTCCTAAATAGGTTTTAAAATAGTAGGTTTTTAAAGTATCCATATATAATGGATGCAAGTATTCACTTTGATGTAAGGAGATATGATAAGAAATTGAGATATGAATATATAATTAAAAATAGAGAGTAACCTAAATGTCTAAAGTAATATTTTAACAAAGAATTGTACCGTAGACTTGATGGCGGTGGCGGATACCTAGTATAAATAAGGTATCTAAGATAATTAGCTGTAAAGTTACTTATAACTTACGTCAAATCCTTTTATATTTTTTTTATTCTTCATTTAAGTTTTGTAGTCAAAAATATGAATAAATGAAACTTTAAATTCGCATCGGACTAATGCTTTAAAAAAAATTAATTATATTTGGCATTAGGTATGTATTTGAAAAGGAATTCTAAGAATTCAAATAAAGAATTGTTCTCAATCTTTATGAAGAGAACAGAAAGAGAACATCCGCAATGGCTCGATGCGGTGGAATTGTGATTGATTGTAGTAGAAAATGGACTCGATACCGAGACTTCCGAGACGCCGTTTCTCTCAAGCTATTATTTTAATTTAATGGCTTCCCAATATAATTTAATTCATATTGTTCAAATTATCATATTGAAATTTGAAAGGTTTCGGAGTAGATTAG